TACATGCACAGTTGCATGCAACCTTCATAAATACAGTGATAAAACCATTGTAGTAGGCACTTGAATGATAAAAATCACTTTTTCTTGCCTGAAGCTTTAACCGTAATCCTTCATCTAAAAAAAAAAAATAAAACACTGATAAGCTAAAATATTATGACTATCTGCCTAATTCAGCATTGGTCCTTATACATATCTTTTAGAAAATCAGGTTTAAACAAAACAATCCTTTCATTGTTACAATTTATATGGTGGATTTTCTGCAATATGGACTTCTTGCTTTTGAAGAAAATAAACACTGACTGAACTCAAAAACGAATTTGTATTCCATATGAAAAAAAAATCATAAAAAAACATTGTGTTGACTTTTGTAGTCCTTAAAATATAGTAATTCTTTGCATTTCTCTACCATTCTCAATTTCATCCTTCTTACCCTAATAATAGAATGTTACTTTGGATGACTGGGGTTTTAATTTTTTGTGAGTGAGTTGTGCATTGTGAGTTTTAGACACAGATTTTTTAGCCCTTTTGATTTATGCCCCTAGCAATTTGACTCTGGTGAGACTCATTTATGAACCTTGGAATTATGATCATGGATTTTTCATTATTTAGGATAAGAAGGACCTCATTGATATTTTCTCCCACAGCAAACAATAGCAGAAAAAAAAATCTATTTCTTCTAAAAGTTGTCTTTGCAATTTCTTATTCTGTTCTTGTACTTACTTAATCCATTGTGAGTGTTTATTGCAAATTTTCACATTGCTTGAGACTTCATCCAAAATTTCTTCAGCTTATCTTCAGATTTCATGTCACTTCAAAAATTTCATCTTCATTCAATCTTTTTATAATTTGAGATTTTAACTGTTTTAATGTGTCTGACAAAATACATTGAATGGATTAAGACCTGACAATTTAGTTGGCCAGAGAAATACGATGAAGCTTTCTTCATGTTCCTGAAACTATTCCCATAGAACTCATATACCATGAAAAGATTGTTGCTATTTTAAGTGTTTACATGGTTTTTAATGATATTGAGGTAGATAATATGCAACACATCTGTATTCAAAACAGGGTGCATATTATCACACTGACTTGTTTTTACTTTGTTTTACTCACATTTCATCCAAGTGCCATCACTTTTCTAAGATAATGATTTGCACAGACACTGCCAAGAACTGTATTAGAGAACAAAACAAGACATATCAGAGCAGGCAAATATTTTTCCATTGAAACAAAGTCCAATTCTAATCCTTGCATGCCCACAAATGATTCTTCCAGCAATGCACATTGGTCAAAAATGGTATCCCATGCAGAAATATATAATGATTAAATTAGAGTGAATAACAAGAAGTTAAAGTAAATAAATTCAATTTAAAAAAACAATAAAAATGTAAATCTCAGTAAAAAAAAAATAGTGAAAATATTTCAACCTTCATAAATTTTGTTGATGCAAAATTTTCCGTAATTGTTTTTTTTTATTAATAAAACAAAATTGCAAAAACAGTGGCTCTCTACACTGTATTGTACCTAGGCTATAAAAAAATATGCACACCAAATATTAAAGATATATTTAACAAAATTCAGCTACTTCCTTTGCCTGAATAATAATGATATAGATTTGAGAAGGTCTTGGAGTTATTGCTTGGGTTTATGTATTTAGGCTCACTTTAAGACAGTCCATAACATTGTGGCTTTAGGAAATTTAATAAGGTCTGCAATATGCTTTATAATGCTCAATGGTGTTTAAACCTGATCAGTGCTTCAATGTCAGAAAAGTGTTTCTGGGACAGGTGCTTGTTGTACAGGTGAATTACCACAATGTCCAAGTTTTAAAAAAATGTTGTTGAAATCGATTCAGTATTCCTGATATACCCTTGCTCTTTTTACCATTGCTAACCAATTTCCATTGCTGAAAATATCTTTTATGGGCATGCAAGCATCAGAACTGGATTGTGTTTAAATGGAACAATGTTGCATCTTTCCATCCCTTCATATCAAACTTGACCTGACAAAACAATTTGTCCAATCTTTTAATATAGAGAGTAGCTGTTTCAAATATATATGCAAAGAATTCCCTGACCATACTTATGACAAAATAAAAGCTAGTGTTTTTGATAGACTGATGTTCTGACAAGTTTTGCTTGTCCCTTAATAAGATTGTGCAAAACACTAAAAAAACCTTGAAAAATAGTTTCCAACTGAGAGAGTGTTCCATTTTTCTAGCTCTAACTTTCATTCCAAAATCAAACATTCTTAACTCTTATCCATGTCCAAGTTCTTCTACCTCTTTACTTATTACATACATATGTCATTTGGATGAGTTCATTTCTCTGAGTAGGTGACAGTGTGCTGCTGTCAAGTTTTTTGCAAATTTTGTCAGAAAAATCTCTTTTGATACAACATTTGTAATTGCAGAATTCAAGAAAGTTAATAAGAGAAGTGATTAATTTAAAATTTCCTTAATTTCAGATCCGTTCTTTATTTGAAAATATTAATTTTGCCATAGGATGTGTGGGTTATGTTATAGACAAGCGTATGGTCACAAGAAAGAAATACAACAACAGCAGAAATAGATTTACGTGATTTCAATAGGAATGTGCGGTTTTGGGACGGCTACCTTGTGGTATAGTTCATAAGCTGGCTGCCGATCTGGGTTGATCTCTCATAGTAGTTCTCACTGGTTGGCGTGGCGCTCCTCCTGCTGACTGCTGCTGACTGCCCAGACTGACTGTGACAGGTCTCTTTCCTGGCCTCCTGTTGACTGCTGTTGTACTTCCCCGTGTGACCCCTTTTATGGCATTTTTTATGGCTTAACAGGCTTGACGCGAGTATAATTAGGAAGGAAGCATTTTTATTGGTCAAAAAATAGAAACACTTTAAAATATTTTATTTTTCGACCAGAACTCGTGCATCAGGCCTATAAGCAAACGACAATAGTGGTCATTTTGTGACAGGGCCTTGTTCTGTTCACATCTGGCTCTCGCTCTTGAGTATGTTAGTTTATTTGCCTGCAAATCGGCCGAGATATGTCTTATTTTACTTTATAATAGTTATATAACAATTATCTACACAGGAAATAGGACTGGAAACTTTCTGCTGAATCTGTAATCTTCATTGAAAGATATGAATTCATCTGTTTTGAATACAACTCAGGTTGAATTAGCAGATTAGATTGAGCTTTGTCAAGTAGTAAAAGGATAATTCTAAAAAAGGCAATGGGAAACAACTCACTTTTACAAGAACTGTTATAAAATTGTACATTTTACAGATATTACAGAAAAGGAAACAAGAGAGAGTCATGATCATGTTTTCCACAGTATGTTCCTCATGAATTTAAAATGGTTTGTTTTTTGCTTTGATTATATCTTTCTTTTGTTTTCCTTCAGTTTTTAAGAATATTATGAAGAACAACATGAGAATGTTGAAGAAATATCCAACAAACTTGAAAGAATGACAAAAGCAAATATTTAGCCTTCTTGCTTCAAAAACTAATTACTGCAGAAAATTAATGAAAGATTATAAATGGAATTAAGAAGGTAATGATGAAATTATCCCAAATATGGTTTCATGGGAGGGACAAAAAGCACCCTGCACCTACTGATTATCATTAGCATTATTGTTATTATTATCCTCATCATTTTTATCTTTGTTGCTTTGTCAATTAAGCAATAGCATCAGATTTTACTTGATATCTTTGTAGCGGACAGTGGGGTGAAGATGTGAAGAACACATGTGGGTAGAATTTCCTGCTAGCCGGTCCAACCACATGAGAATATTGGATTTTAATTAAGTCTAAAGAAAACAAACAAGACCAATAATTATATACAAACAAATATATGTATTAACAACAAGTACAAGTTACAAGCACATGGACAGTTACATTGTGTGCGTGTGATGAATATTATGTGTATGTGTTGGTGAGTGTTCATACCTATGTGTATTGTTCTTAGTGTGTTCCCAGAATTTGGGAAATTCTGTATCTGTGAGAGCTCACATCTGCGAGGTGGTATAAGGCTGAAGGCCTGAGGAAAAAAAGAGATCGAGGTGAAGGGTCAGCCAGTATTTATAGCCAGGGGAGAGAGACCCCTGTTGAAGGATTAAGGAACTAAAGGAGGAGCTAATTCTGACACCTTCTTCTGACCACAGATTTCTAACATAACTATTACTGCCTTAATAAATATATCTGTACTACTTTATGTGTCCAGGATATGACAATAAACTACATCTGGCAGCAAGGCCTCTGATCAGGAGGTTTTGAAGAGCATGAAACTACATCTTAATTGCTGTTGTTCCCAGCTATGGGCAAATAGTTAACCCCCAGACTGGGGTCAAAATTGTAAAAATGCCACAAATAAATTTTGTGCAAAAAAATTACTAACAATAAATTTGACTCTCATCAAAAACTCGAAAAAAAAAAAAGCTCCACAAGCGAGAAGTGTGAGAAAAGAAAATGTTAGTATAAATTTATGGTTACATCTTGCCAACTCAACTGTAAATTGATGAGATCTCAGTAACAGTCAAGTGCTGCGCTTATAGTCAAAAAAGTCTAGGTACCATAGCAAAGATCTTATTCAAACAACTACCATGAATATATTGATAGAAAAAACATAGAGATGTGACCTTACAGTGGTGGGGAAAGTGTCTAAAGATGAGCCATCAGATCAGGATTGATTCTTTGGATTTTATCAAGGAGCTGAAGGTAAATAGCAGGGGCAGTGGACCATATGTGGCAGAAATATTCTAAGCATGAATAAATGGTCGACATAGATATGTATAATAGATTCTGGACAGAAAAAGTGTATTACATGACACAGTGAACCAACAATCTTACTTATTCAACAAGTCTGACTAATTAACGATAGCTGTGGGATTAGAGTTGGATACATAGGTTTCTCAAGGGCATTTGAGCCCAAATAATATAATGAACTCAACTGGAATTGGAACTTGGCTCTCTGATTAACAATTCCGAGTCATTATCTATTACACCACCCACACATTCAAACATACAGCCCCTGGTATTCCAAGGTGGTCACCTATCTAGGTACTAACCAGGCTCGATGTTGCTTAACTTTGCTGACCTAATGGAAACCAGTGTTTCAATGTGATGTTGCTGTAAACCTTGCAGAGAAAAGTTGGCTCTTATGGGATCAACATCTTCATGGCAGGAGATTTAGCAGCTGCTTCTAGCTCTAAGCAACATTTGACCCTTTGCCACACCTTCTCATTTCTGTTCTATCATCTAAACTCATTGGATAAGTTACTAGCAATTTCCCTCTACCCTAATTTCCCAGTATTAAATTTTCTAAGCTGTCCTTTCACATAAAGTGTCTAAGAAATTTGAACTGTCTTTTCCTAGTTCCAATTTTCTTGAGAACTTTCTCTTTGCTCACATTATATCACTGGTATTCCTAGCATCCATTTGGAGAATTTGTAGAATCTGCCACAACAAGCCAGTTAACCCCTGCTAGGAAATGCACTATTCCTGTTGTAATTTTCACCATCACAATCTTACAAATATATAACAAGCATTCATTGGTTAATCACCTTTAATCTAGCTTGCTGATTGGTCATTTCCGACCAATCAAACCGCCTGCACTCGACAAATCTATTTTCTCGCTCAATATGCTCGAAACCTCCCACATGATACACGACCATTATAAAAACGAAACACGTGTAAACTCTCTCTCTCTCTCGTGTCTGATTTGCCAAGATGTAATCTTCAAGAACTCCCGTCTTAGTCTTTGAGATCAGACATTAAAAACCATTATCAACATTCATGCAAGTACGAATTCTGAAATCTCTTCTGAACTTTTACCAATTTTACAATACACATTTCCAAACATGCTAAAGAAACTTTATTCTTCTTAAACTACAGTTTAATAATTACTTTCACTTTATGAACTTAGGTACAAATATTACCTAATCTAAGAGACACAACTGTCTAACCTTTTCACTCAGAATTCATGCATGTATATCAAACACTAATAAATTCAATTGTTATGTTTTGAAACAAGATGTTTATGAATCTTTATTCTGTCTTGTATTAATTGTTGTGGATGGAAGATTATTGAACAGACACAATTTTAAACCTTCTGATAATTCAAACCTTCTATTCCTCTCCTACACACATCCGCAACAAACTAGATATCTATTACTTTCAGAATCTTCTTTGACTTTAAGGAAATTGTTCAGCATTCATTGTGATACAGAAAGATGGACAGAACATGACAGATCAACACTATTTTCTTTAATAATGACAATCATCATTATGAGCACTTATAGTGATGTAAATATCATCAATTTAATTGTGAAAAATTTGTCCCATCAGGTAAGAAATAAAAAAAATGTTTTATTTGCATGAATGATTGTCATTTTACTGGAGATCTGACAATTATTTGCCATTGCATTATGGGTAGACAAAAACTGGAATATTTGTTAAGTTGAAAAATTAAAAAACAAAAAATTAAAAATGTGCGTGCTTATTTTCAGTATATCCCCAGGGAACTCAAAGCTTCATAGCTTCTTTTGACACAATCTACATTTGATATTTAATTATGTTAGCATGTTTGATGTTCAAATAAGAGCTTAATTTTTAACAAAGGACTGCATAAGCAAACACAGTATAAAATTCAGTGCAGTGGGGGCTGTGCTCAGTACAGAAAAATGTCTAAGCCATTAATAGGTAAAACATTATTTCGTCATGTACTTGTGCTTGTTAAATTAGCATATCTGTTGTTCAGGTCAGTACATGTAACAAGTTTGTCTGTTTGCATAAATTTTGACATATGGTCAAAAACTAATCAACTCTAAAGTTATTTACATTGTTTAAACATTGACTATTGTATTTTCTTTTGTTGTTGTTATGACACTGTTCTAGCTGCTGTGCCATCTAACCTTCATCTGTTGCATGCTGAAGGTTACCTGGCTCAATAAGCACCTGATAAAGGTTAAAAGACACAACAGCTGAAATGCTGTGATTTTAAAAACAATGAGGAGGACAACAGTCAGAGGGTAATTAAATGATGTTAATTTCTCATCACAGTAATTCAGATAAGAATTAGCAAATTAAATCTGAAGATCAATTCAGCTAATGAGATAAAAATAATAACAATGAGAAGGCATGTCAAAATAACTAACAGGATAATGAAACATTATTTACATTATTCAGACTATTGTCCTCATCTTTGTCGCCATATTTATCACAACGTTTTGACCGTTGTACACGCCGGCCTTCTTCAGGTGGTTGGAATGTCGAACTGAACCCTTTACTTCGCTCACTGGGGTAGACTGTCCTCAAGGACACATGGCACAGTGGATAAAGGCGTTGGTTAGATCCAGTGATAGGACCCAAAGAGTGTGAGTTCAATACCCAGTTAAGGCAGTGGAGAACTTTCAGAAGGAAATTAACAGGAGATAACTGATAACTGACATCCATCAAACATGACATGTGGAACTAGAACACTCTACCCCAGTGAGCGAAGTAAAGGGTTCAGTTCGACATTCCAACCACCTGAAAAACGCTGGAGCGTACAACGGCCGAAACATTGTGATAAATATGGCGACAAAGATAAGGACAATAGTCCAATAATGTAAATAATATGCATAATAACTCATCTCAGAAATATAGACAGACTCTGAAGGATAATGAAAATACAATGTTAACTATTAAGATGCAGAGACTAGTTCAAATAGTAACTAACTTGGTCATCTATTAGGACCCCCTCATGTATCATAATAGGGGTTTCGATTGTGCATATATTAGGAGACACAAAGCAATATTTACTTCTGTCTCAGATAATTAAGTATCAAGTGTCCACTATTAAGAAATTTTTGCATGACACCATTGCAATACAATGTCATAAATCTGGTCTGTTAAATTATTTAAATTATCAGGAGGCTCAATTCTTTCATTAGTATGACTTCTCAGTCAAGGTCAGTTTTTATTAATTCCACTGTTTTAGAAAGATAACAAAACAGGGATAGCAACTAAAACATACTAAAAATGATTTATAGTAGTAAAAAATAATGTCATATTAAAAATTCATTTAAAAATTATTATATATCATTATATATGAAGTCAGTTTTTTTATTGTATCTCTCTCTCTCTCTCTCTATATATATATATATATATATATATATATATATATATAGAGAGAGAGAGAGATAACCAAATATCCCATATATATAAGAAATTAATGATATCAAAGTTGTCTTTGTTCTCATCACTTCATTAACTTCTTGTCATCAAAGAAGCAAATGAGTAATCTCTACATTAATTAAATCTTGCAATTACTGGTTCAAGTATAAACAAATAGGTTTCAATTTATTCCAAAAGAGGCTTAAAATTTATCAAACCAGGCATTATTGAAAATGCACTGAGCATCCAGTAAAAAACTCAACTTACAATTCACAGCTTGAAAGTCTAATTTGTTTACCATTACACAAAGGAAAAGGCTAAAAGGAAAAAAGGGAAAGGTAGTTATGGATAAAAGGAACAAGGAAAAGAGATGGAAACCATAATATGACAGGGATTTAAAAGAAAAGGGCAAAAGAATAGGAATAAGGAAAAGGATGAAAGAAGAAGAATAAAGGGTTGAAAAAGAGAAAGATAAAATAAGAAATACATGAAAAAGAGAAAAGAATCAAAGAAAGAAAAAACTGGTTAATATGAAATGAAAGCTGAAAGAAAAATGAAACAATATAAGAAAATAAAGACAAAGTCAAATAACAGAGAAAAACAGAATAAAATGCAAAGAAAAAGAAAGTAAGGCAGAAGACTAAGTGACAAAGAGAAAGAAATAGAAAAAGAAAGTCAACAAAAAAAGGAAAGGAAAAAGGGAATAAAACAGCAAAGTGGAGGAGAAAGCACAAAAGTGGAAAAAAAAGGAGAGAAAAAGAGAAAAAAGGAGAGTAAAAGGAAGAGAAAAGTTTTAAAAAAAGGGAGGGAATAGTCAAAAGAGCAAAAAGAAACAAAAGAAGAAAAATGAAAAACAACAAAAAACTTTTGAAAAATGTTCAGATAGATCAGGCAGGAAGAGAAACTCATTCTTCAGCATAAATTTGACTGCATTTTCTACTGTTACTTTCTGTAAATGTCAAATGTTCTTTCCCTTTCTTAATCTTCTTCTATGTGCTGTACCAGTTCCAGACATTAGCAATCATTGCTCTCCACAGCTTTCTTTGTAGCTCTAAGTCAGTCATCTTTATATGCATTGTGGTGTAAAGAATAACAGTTTGGAATGAGAAATTGAACAGCTCAGTCTGAATTCCATTAATGTTCATTACATTCACTTATGTACAAATGCCCTTGGGAAAGGTATGGATCCATCTTTATTCCTAGCTATGTGTTGAATAAAAGAACAGAATGGGCTCTATAACCTTGATTGGCAACCCATCTATCACACAAAGAAATGGTGACCTACTGTTAGAAAATCTCCTGCCTTATCAATCATGAATTGAAAGTGACATGATCACCCAAACATGTATCACATATGGCACTAAACTGACTGACTATATCTCCTAATCCCTGTTCTGTCAATGTTTACACAAGCTTGTTAGGTAGGTTATACACTAATGTCCTCTGTCCCTCTTTTTTCTTTTGAAGTGTTTCACCCCAAGCAAGGCGAGAAACCACTAGGATGCAAGGGGTTACAGAAGATTTGGAGCAAGATCAGATAGGAGTGATAGCAGAAAGGATGAGGAGAAGGATAGTGGATAGATCAAGGCAAATGATGTTGATTGACATTACATTTGAATAGTTGGAGATTATAGCTCTCAGGGAAACTGGAATAGGGAAAGAAGTTCCACAGGCGAGATGTGCGAGACATGAAGCTATTGGAGTAGAAGAGACGGCTACATTTAGGAGTTTCGACAGTGAAAGGGTGAGAGTGGGATGCCAGCCTCATAGGGCACTTGAACTCATGAAGTCTGGGGTCCAGCGAATGTCTTATGAGTGTCAGTATAATTGTCCTTTTTGTTTCCATTTTCTCTAAAATTTAATCAATTCTTACATGTTCAGTCCAGTGATATTTTCAGCATTCTTCTGTAGAACCAAATTTCTGTTGTGTCAAGACTTGTCTTCACCTGTATGGAAATTGTCCAG